TTCAAAGCCAACTTTAAGTACTAAGTTTTGATTTTTAACACAATTCTGGAAACCATTTCAAGAGGCGGCAGATGGTTTTACAGTTTATGTAAAACTACAAAATGCTCACACTCGATCAAATGGGCACCACTATAAAAGATATCTTCAAATCAAATGAGGCAAAGCCAAAGAGATGCACCAGCTGTTACTCTGCATAATTAAAAACATAATAGTAACTTGACTATGGTTTATTTTGAAGGAGACATTACTTGGACTTCATGGAGTTGATATATTCAAACCTAAAATGACAAGCACTCTTCTATATTAAATGATAAATTGCTAAGAAACACAATTTTTACTTCAATATAGCTGTGACAGCCACATAACTCTGTACCCTGGTGTTTTGGTGAATAAGGCCAAAATGAGCCCAGGTCTATAAAGCAAAATATGGAGTATACAGTTACAGCACTATCACTGGAACAATTTTTAAGTGATTTTAATTGAATTTAAAATTATTATTTTCAAGTGATTTTTTTCAACATCTAAATATATACAAATGGGTACAGTACTATAGATGGAGTTGGGTCGCTTATGGAAACATACATAATACACTTAAAATACGAAATCAATTCATTTCCTTCTAGTACCAATTACCTGTGATGGCTTTGAAATATAAACATTTAGCAGCATGTAATGTATTTTTAAAATTGGTTTTCATTAATGTCTTTTGACCTAAGCTAAATAGTAATGATGAAAAATAGACCATTTGCTTCAAAGTAAAACTCTTATTAAATCTAAAATATTATGGCACAAAATCAAACCACAAAAAGGACCACATTATGTTATACCCCTTGATTTTCTGAAGAAAAATAATGAAGCTTTCTACATAGTGCAATTGAAAATGAGACACTCAAATTTTACTCAGGCAAAGAGAAATTCTGTAAAATTAGTACATTGACTGTAATCCTAACAAGTTACTACATTATTTCAATTAACAGAAAAACTTTTCTAGGGTGAAAATAAGTGCAATTTATTTTGTCAATGTTGGTAAAATTTCTTGTCAAATCAGACTTTGAGTTGAAAGGCTTGAATAATTCTAGGCTATCTCAAACTGTAACTTAATTTTAAATTTCCGTATTTTTTTCCAGTAGAATTTAAAGTATACACCATGTACATTCCTCAGGTCCACTCGTATTAAATTCTGATGTTAAGCAGAAAGGGGAAACCATGTACGACTAGATTAATTTATCTCAAGGGAAAAGGGGCACATTAATAATTGAGATAATGTTTTCATAAATGTTGGAATCAAATGTGCCTTTTCACTTCTTTATTAGAAAACACATTAGGACAAAATTATCTCACTCTCATCAATAAGACCTAATTGCTGAGAAAGACTATGCTTTCTTTGCAAAACATTCAGAAAGATCTTTCTGAATGTTATGGCCAAATAGCTAGAAATATATCATGCATCCAAGTCTTGCTGGAATACAGGTATATAAGCAAGGCAAGTGATTGTTTAATCCATCCCGTAATATTTCTGTTTTAAAGTATCTGAACTTATTATTTTTTTGTAAAACACATTAAAATTCTGATTCTAAAAGAAATTGGCCCAAAAAAGTACTAATAATTTGGCTTTTAGCTTGTTAACCTCCTTAAACTATAAATACCCAAAAGAGTCAAAACATAATGAAGGTAGTGGCATGATATTAAACTTTCTTTAAATTGTATTTTTATGAACCAGGATTATACATAAAGAAAATATTAACTAAAAGATGATAGCACACTTACAAACCAATCAAGCTCTCCGTAAATGATATATGTTAAATATTTTAAAAGTCATTTTTCTACAAAAAACAAAAAAGAGCTTTTAATGCTTCAACAAAAGGAGTAACTAAAGTGAATCTGATTGTTTCTGTAATAAGCCTTCATGTGTATAATAAAGTACAACCTTACTAAAAACAATGAACTGTAAACTGAAACAAAAATCCATCATCTACTTGGGAACAGTGACTAGCAATCCATTTATTGTACTGAAATAAAGATAAGTAACCTTGGTAAGATCCATCAGGACCTGAGTATTGAACTCTAAATATAAAGACATTTCTTCACCTGCAAGTGACTTGAAAAAACATGTGAGAAAGAGAAACGATTCCAGTTGACTTTTAAAATGAAATAGTAATGATCGATTGCTTTTAATTTTTTCAAGATCTGCTTTATGTCAATCTGACAGTCTGGAAGATATCTTTAAAAGTATGTTTTCAAATGGATAATTATTACATGAGTCATTAAAGAATTATTGCCGAAAGTTTCCTATAGACCTACAGTGTATTCCAATTACTGATTCTTTCTAATATAAAAAATATAATAATTAAAATTTTTTTCACAACAAAATTTAGATTTGAAAGGAAAGACTAAAATCTGAGGAACAATCCCACATTTAGAATTTTCTGTTATAAATGTAACAATTCAAATGGTCACATTTTATAAAAATAATAAATTATAATGCTTAAAAATTTTAAATAAACTTACACTTCATATCTTAAAAATAATTATACTAGTAAAACTCTGAAACCTATTAAATAAGTATTTTATCTTACACATGGACATTGGCACTAAGTTACCTGACCCTGGTCAGTCACATTTATATGATCTCCCAGGAGTCTGATACATATTACATGGCCTCAGTTTTAATATCCCTTCAATCCCCTAAATGCATGTTATTGTAACTATTCTTACAGATGATAAAAATAAATAGATTATGTCCTTTTTAGAAGTAGATGATTCAAGCATAAACTCAGCAAGTCTTTTTTGGTAACACAGAACCAAGTCTATGTACCACCCCCCAACACACTCAACTCACATACCCTAAAAAACAGGTAAAACTCACTTTATATCCACCGAAGTATCATCAACAACAACAAACTAATTAAATTCCCCAGTCTCTTTGCTACAACAGAATTTTAACTTCATCAAGTACAAGTAAAGGTGCAGAAAAAAGGCTCCATAGTTTTCAGTATTGATATATATCATCATATTCTATCTGTATAGTGGTCTCCTGCCAACATCCCAATCATTCAAAGCCTTTTAGGAAAACAAAAACCAACAACCACAATAAGCTATGGGATTTTTTTCATATTTGTGGCTTTGTCCCCTGGCACTCTAAAAATAGACAGGCACTAAACCCAAGGCATCAGAGGGCAATGTAATAGTGCTCAGTTTTAACATTTTCAGATAGAACAAATCTGTACCACTAAGCAATTGCTTTACGATTTCCTCAGAAAAGTATTGGCAGATCTTTAACTGTATGGTATAGAGTTCCTAATAATACCACTGGAACACGAAAAGTGACTGGAATTGTTTTATAAACTTGAAACCACAGTGGTGGTAACAACTAATTAGTCAAAAACAAAAACCAACTAGAAAATATTCCAAAACCAGACGCTTTATTTCCCACATGTCAGTTTTTCCTATCCAAAAGCTCTAAAGTCTAACTTGACTCAATGTATTGACCATTTTCTCCTGCCCCATTTCCCTATATAAAATTTGTTAAAAAAAAAAAAAAAAAGGAACTATTTGGCGACATAAATATGCCTCTTTTTTTCCTCATTCAAGAATTCTATTCTGAAAGATCAAAAATGTATAATTGTTTTCCAGTAATAATTTCACAATAGTTTAGGTGTGAAATGGAACCTGGGAGCCTGGGCACAGTGCAGTGCACCAGTGGATAACTGTAGGGTACACAGCCCAGTGGCCACCATGTGGTCATCTTGGGCTGCTTGGCTATGAGCTCATAGATTTAGTTCCTCCCCTTTAATCAAAGGCAGCTCTGCAGACACAGGCCTTAGTACCCACTGCCAACAGTCATACAAGCGTTCTGGAGACCAAGTCATAGTGCTGGCCAGAGTGGGTGCTCAGCAAAATCTGAGTGGATTATTGAATCGCATGAGTTTAGTTAGTGAGGCAACTTGCAGTGAAAAATGATCATCTTGCAGGCTACTGAGCCGAGAGTGGGGGGCAAGCTGTTGCAGAAATGAGCCATTAATGGAGCCTTAAGGTCCATGCCAACTTGGCCCCTGGCATTTAAAAAAGTTTGTCTTCTGGCAAATCCCACTCCATTATATTGCCTGGCCTCAGTCAGATGTACATACTGCTTAAGAGTAAGACTTCTGGCAGCTTATTTTCATAAATAACTCTCCATGGTGGGAGTATCTACAATTGGTGTGGGGGAAACCTACATTAAGGGTCTGTCTCTTCTGGAATGGACCTCAATAATCAACCATGAAGCTTTGAGACAAGTCTCAGGTTAATAGTTTTCCAATACGTTGTTGACTTTTAAGTAATAGCATCAGGTAAGATTGTACCATTGAAGTACTATCAATGGGGTTATACCAAACTGCCCAGAGTTTTCCTACAGTACCTTGTTGAAGGCTGAATAACTGTACTTTGTCAGAGAAGCAGAATTTGTGGTATCTGATTCACAGTATGATTTTGCTTTACTTTGGGCACTTTGAAAGTTGTGAAACATGTTACAGTCTCTCACATTCAGCGTTTACCAAATTGTTTTTACCTGAGAAAATGAACCTGACTCTCCTTCCTCCTGTTTATGCTTATGCTCCTTCTTGCCCAGTGGGCAAAAACAAAAACAACATGTTGGAAGAGCTTAAAATAGGACACAAAATTCACCTAGCTCACATCCCAATGCCCAGCCTCCGCTGTTCTATCTCCTCAGGTGTTTTCTCTTTTTCTCAAGATCAAGGGAGACAACAGTCAAATCTATCACAGCTAGAATGGGAGCTTGTTATGGTGATTCCATCTTCAGAAACCTGTAAGCCCTGTCTTCCTGGCTGGGTTGCTGTAGTGCTGGGCCTGGCTCTGCACCTCTTCACTGCAGGTGCTGCAAATACCAGGCATCTGCGTGACCAGAGAAATTGAGCCTCCACTACCCTCTGGGGAACAAGGGAGGCTCTTTGCCGGCCAAAGCTCCAGCTGAGTGGCAAGGTTCTCGGTGGCGGCCGACTTACCTCCCAGAGATGCTGCGTGTTCCTCACGGCGCCGGCCTGCACCTTCTCCGGCGGCAGGAGCACGCCCTGGAAGGGCCCAATCCAGGTGCCCTGCTGGATCCTCTGCGCCGCGCAGATGCCGTAGGCCAAGCCGGGCACGGTGCTGGTGCACAGACACACCTCCCGTGGCAAGTCCCGAAGCCACTCGGGCAGCTCCGGAGGGGGCGCGGCGGCCGCGGCGCTGCTGGTACCCACGAGCCGGCGCAGCGAGTGCAGCGGCCCGTGCATGGGGCACTCGCCGTTGCGGTTGTCCGCGCACATGTCGCAACCTGCCGGAGACACGCGAGAGGGAGGGAGGAAAGGGAGAGGGTTAACCCCGGGTAAAAACCCCGTGCCAACAGCATCCCCGCCCGGGTGAGCCACCCGCGAGGGAAGTGACGCCGGAGGGCGCCGAGGCCACTGGGAGCAGGGGGAGAGGGGACCCGACGCGCTCCCTTGGAATTCGTCGCACCCAAATCCACCTGGCACAGGGTCGAGGCCCCGGGCGCCTCCAAAAGCCTCCCGAGTTGGGTGCGGACGGCGTTGTCGTCTCCAAAGAACCGATGGCTCTGGGCTTTTCTCCCCGGCCTCTGCCCCTTTCTCTCCCTCTTCCCTTCTGCCTCTAGCTCCCTCTGACCCTCTCCCCTGTTCCCTCAGGTTCTCTCAGTGGTGTTTCAAAGTGTATTTATCGTTGTACCAAGAGAAAAGGCGGTCTCTCGACCAATCTGATATCTCGGAGAGATTCTACCTTGGTCGCCACGGTAGGTCTGGTTTTCCTTTCTTTACAGTTATAAAAGAGACTTTCAAATTCACCAGTGCAGGTGGGCGACCGGTCCGGCGCTGCACGCCATCCCCACTCCTCGACCCACGCTCCCCTCCCGCGAGAACGTCTACGTGAGTGGGCGGAGCCGGCCTTGGGCCCGCGGAGCCCCAGTTCTAGACCCCGGCCACAGAGGGCGCACTGGCGCTAGGGTCTCTCGAGCGCCCTGGCAGCGCCCGCTCCGGGCACTCCAGCCAGGTGGGGACGGGTAGGGAGCAAGCTCTTCCCGGAAGCCTGCCCCCAAAGGAACCAACAGCAAATTTAACGATCAAGATAATGGGTCTTTAATGATGAGGATAAAGGTTCAATGGAGAGGGCCCCAAATCCTGCCCAGACGGTTGAGCCCGAGGCTAAATGCAATTATTTTGCGTTATAAATTAAGTGAGAGCTGTAGTAAAGCCTACTGTCTCCTATGTTCCTCAGAGCAGCCGGCGCGCGAGGGGACCCCCACCCTCTGGCGGCCGGCCGTGGACCCCCAGTGTCCCTCGACTCAAACTCGGCAGGAACAGGTCAAGCAGCCGCGGGAAGCAGGCCTGCGGCGACCATGCTGTCGGATCGCAGCGCCCTCCGGGTTATTAATGGGCCTGGCGGAGCCGCCGTGTCTGCGCCCTGGCCTGGCGGACCTGCCTCTGGGAGGCGGCCTCGGCGCCCGCCGGCGAAACCGGCCGCCCTGGCCCAGCTTCCCTGGGGAGCCACGGCGCCCCTGAGCAACAGAGCCCTGTGGCACTGGGCCTGATATCGGGCGAGCCCCGACTGGCGGAGATGGCAAGAGCTGGGGACCAGCGGATGCGCTAGCGCTAGGCGGCGGGTCGCCCTCTGGGCTCCTGCGCCCCGCCTTGGTCACAGCCAGTCCTGGTGGATCGCCCTGGGTGTGCCCTATCCGTGCTTGAACAATTGAAATGCCCAAAGAACTTGTGAAAAGTGAGTCACTGAGGAACCTTCGAGGAACACCTAATTGCAGCCCAGCACGGTGTGCGATACCATTTTGCCATTCGCTTCACCGCAAACTGAAGGTTGACTAGGTGAGTATCCTATTTCAGTGAAGAAGGGCTCCAGCCCACGGCGCGTTCCCCTCCAGCAGCTACTCCTCCACTTCCCCCAAAAGAGCCCAGGGAATGAGGGGACCTTTGACCTCAGCTTCTTGAGGGTCTCCCCAGGCCTCTCAAGTGAAAAGTAACAACCTGTTTCTGCAGGTAGTGAAGTGGCCATGCCTCCTGGACCCCTCTTTCAGCAACACAAACTAATGTCAAAACTGTGCCAGGCTCTGCTTTTGACCCTAGGGCTAGATGGAGGGAGGCAGTCTCACCCTTACCCATAAGTCAACTCCTCCAGAATGCAGACACTTCACACACCCTCTCAAGCTTCTGATTGTGAAAACAAAAACCTTAAGATAAAGGGGGATAGAGGAAAGACAATAAAAACTCACGATTACCAAGTGCCTACTATGTGCCAGACACCTACCTTCAACCAAACAACCACCATATTATCTAAATATCACAATTTCCATTTTGTAGATGAGGCAACTGAGGCTTCATGAGCAATGTAACTTGACCAAGGACCCGAAACTAGAAAGTGGCTGAGAAGGATTCACGATCAGGTCTGCCTGACTCCGAAGCCTCCAAACCTAGAGATCTAAGATTAATGAAAACTAGGAGAACTTTATATCCAAACTCATAACTCCATCAATATAATTGAAATATTTCACTGAAGTCACTATTTGGGGGCTGCAAAACTGTTGTAGCATGATTGAACTAAAGAGATCTCTCTCTTTATCCCACACTCTTGGGTTTGGGGAGGTTAACGTAAGAGGATGATTTGAAAAGTAAGTAGATAATGTCCATAATTTTGAATTTTAGTGCCTAACTTCAGAAATGAGCTTTCAGCACCTTAGCAAAAATAGCTTAAAACAAATGACAATAAGCAAAGGCAATATGCCCATAAAAATAAAAATAAATCACCCCAGGGAGTTAAGAGACTTTCCCTTTCTGGTTGGCTCAGTGAAACAAAGGGTGAGAAGAAAGAGCATTTGGTATTTCCTGCCTAACAGTCCATACCAGAGATTCTGTCAACTTACAAGATCTCCACAACCTGTAACGTCACACCCACTACATCAGCAATAAAATGAGGAAAGGTGCCAACTCCGGCCACCACCCACACAGACAACAAGCACACTCCTGTTATTTGTTATGCATGATAGAGTATGGCTAGTCCTTTCTCTAAGAAGTCCTCTAAAGTACTTCTTCAACTTACTACATTTCATTTGTCTCCATGAAGTGCGGAAATATTTAATAGCAGCATTCTGCAGAGTGACAAGCTGAGGCTCTCCCAATACGTAGAAGAACACCTGCAGGGTAGGCAAGGCCAACCCACCATCATTAGTCCATCCAGTATAAATTTTCTTCATTTAAAGACCATTTCATGCTATTTCAAAATACTCTACCAGAAAGCCTACGTCAAAATACATGTTATATCCTAACGTTACTGTTTCTTAATACACAAAACTTCTGCCACTGAAAACATGTGGCTCCTGACTTATGTCTCGGAGTCCCAAAGGAGCCTGAGGACGACTAAAACCAAGTAACTGATTAGCTGGGGTTGACAAATGTGGCCCAAGTGGACAAACATTCTAGCAGAGTGTTTTCTAGACAGCAAGCCACTAACACCTACATGAAAAGATTTGAGGAAAAAAGTGGGCTAGATGCCCAAACTACACATAAAAAATACATATGTGTTATATACATGATACAGCATTCCAGGCCAAACAATACATAGTACATCTATTTGTATTCATAAAGAAGAGGCAAATAAATGTTCCTATTTTCTCTTAAAATCAGGGTAAGTTTTTTCACAACTTCATAATTATTATTCATAAAATGTTGTCTATATCTGTGAGAGATATTATATTCCCCAAGCAAGATACTTCGAAATGCCATTTTAGCATTAGGGAATGTAAGAGATCATGGTCTCTTCTCTCTCTTGAACAGATCTGTTAATACTCTTGTTTATGGGTCTCTGAGTAAGAGAAGGAGGTATCATTAAGTTACCGACTAGTTCACCCACTGGCTTCAGAAGGCCAGGCCAAGTGGAGTGAAGACCAGACTTTCACTCTTCCCTCCTTATCCTTCTGTAGTGTTCGAATGTTTTTACAAGGGCACGTGCGACTTGTGTAATTGAAAATGGATCTATTTTAAGGTAAAGGGGGCAAGGCAAGCCAGAGTTCTCTGGTATCTCATTTCTCGTTCTAGGAAAGGAGAAATATAAAACGTCTCAGGGCTCTTTCGCCTTCTGGAGAGGTGGGCAGGAGCGCATGGGCGCAGGCGGAACGGGGACCCTCGGGACGCGGCTGCCGCGCTGGGCCTTCGCTCCCCAAAGCCTCGCCGCCGCTTTCGCCTGCCCTCACGTATCCTCCGGGAAGGCAACCGAGGAGCAGCTGAAAAGCCTGTCTCCCCGCCTGGGCGGCGGTAACCGCCCGGCTATAAATTCTCTGCGACCGCCGCCGAGGTCGCGGCCCTCTGTCCCACAGGCCGAGCCGGGTGGGGGCCGGCGCCCATCGATCGCCGCCCGGTGACGGCGACGCGGCCCCGGGAGTGCCGCCTGCTGGCAGCTCCGCGTGCTTCGTGGCGGGGGCACTGGGCCTTGGGGTCGCAGAGGGCACTGGCCGACGGGGCCGAGGGCAGGCGGAGCGCTGTGGTTCGGAGTCTCTCGCACCAGAGTTCCACGTCCCCCTCCAGCCCGCACTCCCTGCTTAGCCCTCCCCGCGCCAAGCCACTGGCTGGCTGGGATGGCGGTGGACCGTGCACGGGGTGGGCGCCAGGCCCCCCAGCACTTAAGCTGTATGTTGAAGGCCTTGCCCCTTTCCTGCCAGCGGGAAGGGGTTTTCTAGGCTCCCAGGAGCGCGTCTAGGAGCCGGTCCAGAGGCGAGGCAGGCCCGCTAGGGGAACCGATTGTGGTCTTACGCCCGCGGGGCGGCCCAGCTCCCAGGAACCTTCTGGGAGCCTCTCTCTAGAAGAGTTTAAGGCTTCCCTACGAATTGCCTACGCGCTGGGCTTTCCCTGCTCGGCCTGGCTGCCGGCTTGGCCCTGGGACCAAGAGGGGGAGACAAAAGGGGGAGAGAAAGAAAGAGGAAGGAAATGTGGGTTTTATTTGTCTCCTGATGACTGTATTAATAAATTAAATGGCAGCGCCAGTGTGTGAGGGTGAGAGAATATTGCGGCGAGATAAACCTCGCCGGCCGCTGCCCCTGCGAGGCCGCCATATACATTGCGGAGATGATGAATAGGAGGCGCGAGAGGAGATCGAAGCGGGTCTGGGCTGGCTCCACTCTCTCCTACAAAACTATAGGGCAATTAATTGTGGCTTGTCCCCTCATCCTTCATCTTCTGGTGGCACATATCGATGGAGATTACTGCTGATGAACCGTTTTATCACCTTAAATAAACAGTCACCACCTCTTCTAACCTCAATCTAATATATGGCTCTATGTTCAGTTTCAGGGCGCTAGATAACAAATGATGTAAAATAGCTAAATTATGTGTGTTACGGGATGGGGCTGGGCGTGCACACAAAAAGAGAGCAAAGAGAAAAAGAAAAAGAGAACAACACAAAAGCCCACAGAGTGATGCCGAGCCTCCCTCCCACCGGAGACCAGGTCTGAAATCTAAGTCGCTTGCTGGCCATTGACAGCGGGGAGTAGCGCAGCGAGTGTGCCTTGGCGTCAGGAGAATCCCACTGGTGGGTTACTGGGCTCGGGAGCTTCCCAAACAGGACCTGTGAGATTAGGGAGGGTCAGTAAACTCTCGCCCTCCTTTTCTCTCTTTCCC